ATCCCCACTGAGTTTTCTAGTCGTCGTGTTTATGGGAGTAGCTCTCTGAGTGTTTATTACATGGAGCCATTGGTGGGTTCAAATAGCCAACCTTGAAGTTCACTGGCCAGCAATGAACCATTGTATCACCAGGGCTTCGTAATGCAAAAGGTAGATGATGTACCCAGATTGATTCATCCATTGTAATAGGTATACGACAGAAATACAGGATGTTACTCATAGGAGAGACAAAGGAGTGGGAGGCACATGGGACCCTAAATTTCCTGTACTGTTTTCCTGCAAACTTGGGACTGCTTTGGAAAAATCAAGTCCATTAAACAAACAAACAAACAAATCAAGTCCAGATAGAAGTTCTAATTCTCTAACTTTAATTAGAGACTAAAGTGGCCTTAGTTTTATATCCTAATGCAAGCATATGTTTTTGGGTTTTTTTGCTTGAAACCAGATATTTGCCATTTCACTTTAATTGTCATGTTTTCAAATAGCTAATGCCCTTTCTTCATTTAGCCAGCCTAAGCTCAGGGCTTTACCAGGAACATCCTGGAACAATGAGGTTTCAGTCAGTAGCACGATTTGCTTACCAAAGCTGGTTCATTGTCTGTTAGTTGTCTTCACACAGACCAGAGGATTTAGTGCCTCTGTGGCACACCACAAGGAGTGTGCTATTGCCCATACTCATTAGATGCTCTTGGATCGTTCCAGAACGAAGTCTGTGTCAACAGCCCACCACACACTTATTGAACATCTATTACCTCTAATGCCTTTATCATGTGTGTTAGTCTGGGTTGACTAGAGAAGCAAATTCATAGACACTCATATGTGTATAAGAAAGAGCTTTATATAAAGAGTAATTGTACATTAAGAAAGCATCCCAGCCCAGTCCAGATCAAGTCCATAAGTTCGATATTAGCCCATATGTCTGAACCCAGTCTATAAATTCCTCTTCAGACTCAAGCAGCACAAGCAATGACGCCGAATGCAGGACGATCACAGGCCGGTGGGTGGAAAGTCTTGTGGATCCAGTAGCAGTGGAAATATCTCAGTGCTGGCGTGGGTCTTCATGTGGTTCCTCCAGCTCCAGGGCTCTGACTCCATCAGTGTAGCTCCATGTGGCTTGTCAACAAGAATGTCTCACAGGGAGAGTGTGTGTCCCACCTCCAGGGAGGAAGAAACAAGTTCCCAGGATCTTCAGGAGAAGGCCATGCCCACACAGAGGCCTCATTGGCTATGGCCTGATTGACAGGCTAGATAGACTCCACTCTTTTGCAAGTTGACAGGCGACTATGTAACTGCCCCACCATGAATTGAGGAATGCAAAGAAATACAATCCATGCCTCTTGTCCTCAGAGAGGAGCCCTGGTGGCACAGTGGTTAAAGCACTCAGCCACTAACCAAAAGGCTTGTGGTTTGAATCCACTGGCTGCCCTGTGGAGAAATGATGCGGCTGTCTGCTATAATAAAGATCTACTCAGAAACATCATGAGCAGCTCTGCTCTGTCCCGAAGGCTCTCTTTGAGTTGGAATCCACTCAGCAGCTGGGGGAGGGGGTTGGTTGTTTTCTGTTTTGTTCCATTGATGACCTCACAGAGCTAGTCCAGTAGCTGAGGAAACAACATGTAGATTCCCCACAGTATCACCTAGGAAGTGTCACCTGGTTCATGGCGGCATATGTTTACATAATGAACTGATGGGTAATGGAAGGATTTCAGAGGCGGGAAAGCTGATCGTAAGCAGAGATATAGTCATTGCCTAGGAAGATGGGGAAGGTGGTAGGACTCTGGGGTAGTGGAGGCAGAATTTCTCTCCTCAGTCCTGAGCTCCAGAAAGATCCCCCAGCAGAGGCTAAGGGAGGAACATGACGAGCAGCAGAGAGAAAGTGGGAAAGCCTTTCCAACCAATGGCTGTGGAGCGGATGCTGCCCAAGTAGCAGCTGAGAAATGTCAAAA